TCACTCACCTCAGCCTCCCAAGGCGCGGGATTACAGGCTGAGCCACCAAGCCCGGCTGTGTTCTTTCTTGAAATAACAAAATGCAGTTGTACTCTACAATTAGTAACTTGCTTGCATTTTGACAACTACACAAGTATTATCAGAATACACATTCTCTGAAAAATGCACATCCTGTAGAATTATAAAAAGTAAAAAGTGAAAAAGCAACCCTTCCCCATCCCTCAGGCCATGGTCCTCCCGCTTCTTGGTGTAACTACTGCCCTTTTGGTGTGGTGTGTATCCTGTTGGCTCCTTTGTCAGATTCTCTCTCTCTCTCTTTCTTAATTTATCTATCATCTATTGATCTCTATACCTGATCTATCTACCTTCTATATCTTTCTCTATATAGTGATAACATATAGACATATACAGAGTACCCAAAACTATAGGTAAAATCACACTATGCCCATTATTTTGTGACCCCTCACATATTGTGGAGACGTCTTCTCATGGCAATACCTGCAGATGTACCTAACTTTATCGATTCTGAGTTTGTAGGCATAGCATATTAGACATTTGCTCATTCCCTCATTCGTGGGCATTTAGCTTTCAGAATATTTCATTCTACAAACAATGTCCATCTGTCTACACACTTTGTGTGTTTCTGGAGGATAGATGTATACAAGCGGAATTGCTGCTGGAACAAGTATGCACATTTACAGTTTGGGTGGGTCCTGTCCATCCACACCCCAGTAACGGTGGTCAAGGTGCATTTCCCGACAGCCTTGCTGACACTGGATATTGCCACTTTTTTAGATTTTTTTTTTTTTGAGTCAGAGTCTCATCCTGTCACCCAGGCTGGAGTGCAGTGACATGCTCACAGCCACTACAACCTGTTGGGCTCAGGTGATCCTTCTGCCTCAGCCTTCCAAGTTGCTGGAACTACAGGCATGCGCCACTACGCCCAGCTAATTTTGTTGTTGTTGTTGTTGTTGTAGAGACGAGGTCTCCTAAGTTGCCCAGGCTGGTCTCAAACCCCTGGGCTCAGGCAGTCGTTTCACCTTGGCCTCCCAAAGTGCCGGGATTATAGGCGTGAGCCACTATGCCCAGCTTGGATTTTTGCCAATCTTTTGAATGAAAAGTAGATGCATTACCTTACTGTAATTTATATTTATATAAATGTTAGTGGAGTTGCATTTCTTTCTCTCCCCTTCAATTTTTTCTTATTATGGTAGAATATACCTAACAAATGATTTGCCATCTCAGCCTCTTGTAAGTGTACAGTTCAGTGTAACTCAGTACATTCGTGGTGTTGTATAGCCATGAGCCTCCTTTTGATGCTTGCTGGTCACTTATAATTCCTGTGGGCTGGTGCACTACGCAATGTGATCATTCTTGTGTCCTTCGTCTCATGACAGAAATTGCACAAACCTTCCTTGCTGCCACTGAAAGCTGTCTCCAATAACTGGAATATTTCTGAATGACTGTGATATGCACGAGTCTCCTGTGGCCACCTCCCAACCCCTTGGCTCCACAGAAAGCAAGGACCATCAGGTGCCTTGTGTGGTGAAAAATTATGTTTTGTATTTTCTTTTTACTTATGTGGCTCTAAAGACAGTGAGATACCTCCCCCATCTGAAGAGGAAGAAGAGGAAGAAGAGACAAATTATCAAAAAGCAGAGTCTTTGGATAAAATTCCAGGTGTGGAATTGGGAGGGCACGGGGTGGGCAGAACTGAGTAAGCCTCCCTGGAAGTGGAGTGTTCACCTGCCATGCGTGAATTAGTTTCTGTGGTTACTCAGCATGAAGTTCGAAGGGAAACTGCTGGGTTGTTAATAGATACAGGTGGTAGTTTCGCGTGGCTGCCATCCCAGATGACCACAGACCGTGGGGCTGAAAACAACAGAAATGTATCCTCTCACAGTTCTGGAGGCCAGAAGTCCAACATCGAGGTGTGGACAGGGCCATGCTCCCTCCAAAGGCTCTAGGGGAGCTCAAGCCTTGCTTGCCTCCTCCAGCTTCTGGTGGTTGCTGGCAGTCCTCGGCTTGTGGTGGCATCGCTCCCCTATCTCTACCTTTGTTGTCACATGGCCTCCCCGCTGTGTGACTGAGTCTCCTCCTTTCTCCTATGCAGGCCCCAGTCACACTGGATGAGGCCTACCCTGCTCCAGTATGGCCTCATCTTATTTAATGACATCTGTAGACGCCCTGTTTCTAAATATGAGGGGGACTCCAGAAAATTGGAATTATCTTTTGGAGGGCGGGCTCCTTGTAGTCCAGGTTTCCCCTGCTCGTTAAGTGTTCTAGGAACCTACTGGCATCCATGTACCAGCTAGCATTGTGGTGCAAGGCTGCATTTGGTTTCAGTGAATTTTTTTTGGAGATTTTTTCAGCGTGTCTGCCCATTTCATGACAGGTGATTTATGAGGGCACCTGCCCACACCATGCTGAATGTTCAGCAGTTTTTGACCCCAAATGACACAATCCCTGTACCCCACCCTCCCTGGTCACCCAATCCCACCTAGAGCGACTTTATTTTTGTTTCCCCAAAGAAGAAAGTCCTCAAAGGGAAATGTTTTGCCAATGTGAAACCAAAAATGGCAGAAGCCCTAAGAGGCATCAAAATTGATGGGTTCAAAAATTGTTTTAAACAGCGGAAAAAGCATCTCAATAGGTGTATTGCATCCAACAGAGAGTACTTTGAAGGTTTAGACATGTAAAGAATAAATACACAAATTTTTTTTTGAGTTGGAGTCTCACTGTATCGCCCAGGCTGAGTGTAGTGGCACACTCCTGGCCACCCTACCCCAGCATCGACCTGCTGGGCTCCAGCGATTCTTCTGCCTTAGCCTCCCAAGTAGCCAGAACTACAGGTGCGCACTACCATGTCCAGCTAATTTTTAATTTTTATTGTAGAGACGAGGTATCGCCAAATTGCCCTGGCTGGTCTTGAACCCATGGGCTCAGGCAATTCACTTGCCTTGGCCTCCCAAAGTGCTGGGATTATAGGCTGGGCTACCGAGCCCAGTCAAATACACAATTTTTAATAAATTCCTGTTTTGGGGTAGAGCTCCCCCCATAGCTACTGAGGGCTTCCTAGGAAGACACATCATTTTCTTTCTTTTTTTTTTTTTTTGAGTCAGAATCTCACTCTGTTGCCCAGACTAGAGTGCAATGGTGTGCTCATGGCCACTGCAGCCTCAACCTGCTTGGCTGAGGCAATCCTTCCAACTTAGCCTTCCAAGTAGCTGGAACTACAGGTGTGTGCCACCACACCTGGCTAATTTTTTAAATTTATTGTAGAGATGAGTTCTCGCCATATTGCCCAGGCTGGTCTCAAACCCGTGGGCTCAGGCAATCCTCTCACCTCGGCCTCCCAAAGTGCTGGGATTACAGGCTTGAGCCACCGCGCCAGCCAGACACATCATTTTCAGCACCAGGAAAGATTTGGGTGGAAGAGGCTACTTAGGTAGGAAGGTCAGGGAAGTCTTTTCCCACAAAGTCCATTAACGTTACTTCCAAATAAATATTCAGGTGTATTTTCTTTTATTGTGGTAAAATATATGTTACATAAAAACTTACCATTTTAGCCGGGCTCGGTGGCTCAGCCTGTAATCCCGCGCCTTTGGGAGGCTGAGGTGAGTGGATTGTCTCAGTCCGCAGGTTTGAGACCTGCCTGGGCAGCGAGACCTCATCTCTACAATAAATCAAAAAATCAGCCGGGCGTGGTGGCGCATGCCTGTAGTTCCGTCTACTTGGAAGGCTGAGGCGGAAGGATCGCCGAAGTCCAGCAGGTCGAGGCTACGGTGGTCGGGAGCGGCCACTGCACTCCAGTCTTGGCGACAGAGTGAGACTCCAACTCAAAAAAAACCAAAAAAACAAAAACAAAAAACCCCCCAAAAAAAACCCTTACCATTTTAACCATTTCCCGGTGACATTAAGTATGTTCATAGGTGTTTATTTTATTTTTAAAAGATGGGGTCTCGCTCTCTTGTCCAGGCTGGAGTGGAGCGTTGCGATCATAACTCACTGCAGCCTTGAATTCCTGGGCTCAAATGATCCTTCCACCTCAGCCTCCCCAGTAGCTTGGACTGCAGGCACGTGCCACCATGCCTGGCTCATAAATGGATTTTTTAAACCATAATCTGTTCCTGATGCCCTAATAATATTGGTACCACCATCTATAGACTATTTTCCCTGCCAACCAGTGTGCCAGGTCCCTAACCACACTATTCTCTAATCTTACAGACTCTGGCCTGTACATGTTGCAGCCCCATTTTATGACTGAGAAAACCAATAGCAGAGAGGATTCAGACTCCCAAAATTGAGTTGATTTCAGAGCCACACTGACCTTGCCCAGTGCCTTTCAAAGTGAGAGCTGGGCCTTCCAGGGAAAGCTCCCTTCTCTGTCATCACTGGACTTGTTGGATGCTCTCAGGCCTGAGACTTGGTGCCTTCCAGGGTTTCTAGCTCTGCATTGATCCCTACATGAGAAAAATGCAATTTATTTTAGACTACTTTTCTTTTTGACCCTCGTGAGTTTTGAGTCTCGTAGTGAAGAAGGAATAAGCACTAATATGTTAACTGTAATTCTGGTCTTAGTGATAAGCTCCTTTTTAAGTAATAGCTGATTGTGGTGTCTTATACCTGTAATCCCAGCACTTTGGGAAGCTGAGGCAGGAGGATTGCCTGAGCCCAGGAGTTCAAGACCAGCCTGGGCATCACAGCGAGACCCCGTGTCTACAAAAAAATTTTAAAAATTAGCCAGGCGTGGTGGCACATGCCTGTAGTCCCAGCTACTCGGGATTGAGGCTGTGGTGAACTATGATCATGCCACTGCACTCCAGCCTGGGTGACAGGGTGAGATCCTGACTCAAAACAAAAAAGTACAGATCTGAGAAGTCACAAGTCGGACACTGTAGCTGGGACACACACACACCCCCACATGCATGCACATTAAATTTCTGATGAATGCCCTTTCAAACATGTAACACAACTTTCTCCTCAATTATGATGTGAGTCAAGGCTACAGTAGGATTCATTTGTGCAAAATGTCCATCTAGCTGTTTGAGAGCATGCCTTCTGAATGAAATACACTATTGTACGAAAATGCAGGTATGGTTTGGGGTTAGGAAACCTAATTTTCTGATGATTTCGTTTTTTTGTTTGTTTGTTTTTGAGCTGGAGTCTCACTCTCGCCCAGACTGGAGTGAAGTGATCGCTCCCAGCCACCGCAGCCTCGTTCTGCTGGGCTCTGTCGATCCTTCCGCCTCAGCCTTCCAAGTAGCTGGCGTGCTACCACGCCCGGCTAATTTTTTGATTTATTGTAGAGATGAGGTCTCACCAAGTTGCCCAGGCGGGTCTCGAACCCGCGGGCTCAGGCAAGCCACTCACCTCAGCCTCCCAAAGCGTGGGATTACAGGCTGAGCCCGGCTTTGATGATTTCATCTTACACATTGTTTCATGTTTTGCAGCGAAAACTTCGCAGCGGAGAAGCGAATCCATAGGCCAACCTCTAATTGGCATAGAGGATAAAGAAACGGACAAAGAGATTGCAGAACCCCTCCCTGCCAAAGTACGCATGACTCTCTGTCCCCACTGATGGGGTAACAGGACGCCACTGCCCTCAAAGAGGCAGGGTAACTGGCCCAGACAGTCTAGGGGGTTTGTCTAGGGGATTTATCGTTTTGGAGTGGAGGTGATGCAATCCTGTGTTCAGAGTCCCCAAGACCACCTTCAGGCTCAATGATTGGCCAGAAGGACTCACAGGACCTGGAAAGGCTGTTATATTCATGGTTATAGTTTATGACAGTGAAAGGTTATGAATTAAAATCAGGAAAGGAAAAGTGCTCAGGGCAGAGCCCAGCAGAAAACAAACACGAGCATCCGTTTCCCAGTGGAGTTGCATAGACAGCACTGATGGTCCCAGTGGCTGTGTGTGGGACAACATACACAAAGCATCGCCAACCAGAGAAACCACCTGAGCCTAGGTGTCTGGGGGTTGTATTGGAGTCAGTCATGTAGGCATGGAGTGTCCACATGGCCAACCTGAGTGACTCAGTCTCCAACCCCTGCAGAGGTCAAACTGATCCCGGGTGACCAGGATCCTGGGCAGACAAAAACAAGCACTCACCACAGATCACATTGTCAGCATAAACTCTCTGGCGTGGCCCAAGCTCCCAGGCACACAAAGACCCTCCTATCAGGCAGGACAGTCCGAAAGCTTAGAAGTGGTCACCAGGAGCCAGTCAAGGACCTGTCTCTGGGATGTGCAGGGTTTGGGCAACCCAGGCCTGCTGAGTTCACCCTTCACTGCAAGAATCCTGAGGATGGAGCTTAAGGCTCGACTGTAAGCATTCAGCCTGCCCTGTGCTTCACAAAATGGCATTTAATTGCTTAATGACTATGTCCCATCCTCAGACCCATTTAAAGCCTGGTGGGTTGCAGTGTGTGGCCTTGTAATACTCTACCTGGAGTTCTGCCAGGTCAGTTTATTCCAGTGTAGCTGCACTGACTGGTCAATGGGGGAGTCAGGCTGAGTGTTCAGAGTCTAGGCACATCCCAGCTCCCATGGCGTCTTCTGCTGGGGCCCACTGAGCCTGTGTCTGTGGCTGTGTTGTTAGAAAGGAACATCAGCCACTGCGTTGAGAGGACAGCTCAGAGGTACTTGAATATCAGGTTCTTTGGGTAAACAGATGTATCTCAAGAATGGTGGTTTTTGTTCCCCATGCTTTAGAGAATTGTGACGCATATCGTGGAAAAGACGTATCTTCAGGTGACTTGTACCCCAGTTCCCGAGGAGTTTCTGGATCAGAATGTGATGTTTTTTCTCAGAAATACCAAAGGTACATTTCTGAGGAGGTTGTGTGGGGATGTTGTGTACAAACGTGTATGTGTGTATATGTGTATGTGTGTGTGTGTATGTAACACTTTTTTCTCTCTCTTTCCATTTTCTTGAGCACATAACTTTTTATTAGTTCAGTAGATCCTCATTATTCACAGATTCCAAACTAGTGAACTTGCCCACTCACCAAAATGTACATGCGACCCCACAAACAATCCTTGCAGCATCTTCAAGGTCATTTGCAGACATGGGCAGAGTGAGGGGAAGTTGGAGTTGCCCACCACGCACTTCCCAGCTGAGTGTGGGGCAATGCTCTGCCTTCGTGTTTGAACTCTTCACACTGGAAGCAAGTGTCCTTTTCATGGTCTACTTAGTGCCATGGCTTTTTGCATCGTTGTGCCTTCTGTTAGTGATTTTGCTATTTTAAAGGTCCTCAAGTGTAGCATGGAGGTGCTGTCTGGTGTTCCTAAGGGAGAGGAGGACCAGATGTGCCTGATAGAGAAAATTTGTGTGTTAGAGAAGCTTTGATCAGGTGTGAGTCATAGAGCTGTTGGCCGTGAGTTCAGTGTGAATGAATCAACCAATACACACGACACACAGTGTCTTTAAACAGAAACACACATAAAACAAGTTATGTATTGGTTGGTTGACAAAAATGTACCCAGAGGCTCACAGGAACCTAACCCCATATTTCCCCTAGGAGCAATAGTTTAGTGGTTGCTGATTCTGTGATCATTCACAGTGACTTTATAGAATATAACTACCAAGAATAATGAGAACCAACTGCATTAATATATTCCGAATTCTAGTTATAATGATTAGTGGAGGCTGGGCAAGGTGGCTCACACCTGTAATGCCAGCACTTTGGGAGGCTGAGGCAAGAGGATAGCTTGAGCCCAGGAGTTTGAGGCTGCAGTTAGCTGCGATTGTGCCATGGCATTCCAGCCTGGGTGATACAGCAAGACCCCAACTCATGAAAAAAAAAAGTCAACCCCTTAGGGTCCCCTCCCACTGTGGGAGCTCTTCTGTCCTCTCAATAAATCCTGCTTTCTAAAAACAACAACAACAACAACAAAACCCCAAACATAAACCATGACTCAAAAGATACTTTGGCAATGAACTGAGGACGAGCTGCCAGAAGTGGAGACAGGCATAACCAGTCTCTGGCCCAGCTCGGGCAGCAATAACAAATCACTCGAGACTGGGGGCTTCAACAACACGCATCTGTTTCTCACAATTCTGGCAGCTGGGATGTTCCGGATCAAGGTGCCCGCAGATCCAGGAACACCTGCTTCCTGGTTCCCAGAGGGTGCCTTCTCCCATCCTCACAGGGCAGAGAGCGTAGTGAGAGAGAAAGAAACTCCCGTGTCTCAGAAGGGCACTAATCCCATCAGGAGGGCCCACCTTCCCAACCCAGCATCACCCAGAGACCCCATCTCCAATCACACTGGGAATTGGAGCTTCAGCATATGAATCTGGGGTCATTCAGTCCAAGCAGCAAGGAATCCAGGAAACATTTCTAGACAACCCAAATCATTTCTGCTTTTGTCCAGCCTTGGATACTCCAACCAGGTGAACTGTTGTGTGCAGCTCTTGTGGCTGGTGCTAATCCACGAACCACAGGGCATCGTATGTATTTCAGCTTCTCCTAGGCCCAGGGAGTCCTTCACATACAGAGAGTGTATATTCTAAGTCTGTGACCAGAACATTCCTTTGTAGACACTCAGGAAAGAAGAGATTCATGTATGCTGATGGCCACTCTGCCCCACTGATCTTTGTATTTTTATTTTTTGAGTCAGCGTCTCAGTCTTTCACCCAGGCTGGAGTGCAGTGGCATGATCACCACTCACTGCAGCCTTGACCTCCTGGACTCAGGAGATCCTTCTGCCTCAACCTCTCGAGCAGCTGGGACTACAAGTGTGTGCCACCATGTCCAGTTAACTTTTTTTTTTTTTGTAGAGATGAGGTCTTGCTATGTTGTCCAGGCTGATCTCGAACTCCTGGACCCAAGTGGTCCTCCCGCCTCGCCCTCCCAAACTGCTGGGATTACAGCCGTGAGCCACCACACCTGGATCCCCCACTGACTTATGCTCTGGATCTGTCCCTATTTAGAGACGATCTTTGAAGCTACTGACATGAAGGAAGCTCTGGAAACTATGCCTGAGACGCTGGAGTATGGAATTATAAATGCCAACTTGCTTCATTTTCTGAAGAATCTTGTGTGTCAGGTAAATATGGAGAAAAGAGGAAACCCCATCATGTCTAAAATTAAGGCCATTGGATTGGTTCATCCCACAAATGGGCAGTGGGCAGTCGTTCTATCGCAGACACCGTCACGGGCACTGGGGGTAGAGTGGGGGACGGAAGGGCAGTACCCCTGCTCTCCTGCAGCTTTCGCTGGAGGAAGACATGGAACACAAGCGCATGACAGGAAAGTAGCAGGCAGGCCGGGCGCGGTGGCGCAAACCTGCCATCCCAGCACGTTGGGAGGCTGAGGCGAGAGGACTGTCCGAGCCCATGGGTTCGAGGCCAGGCTGGGTAGCTTGGTGAGACCCCATCTCTACAATAAGTCAAAAGATTAGCCAGGCGTGATAGCGTGTGCTTGTACTTCCAGCTACTTGGAAGGCTGAGGTGGAAGGATCACCAGAGTCCGGCAGGTCTACGCTGGTGTGGCCGTGAGCGTGCCACTACCTTCCAGCCTGGTGACGGAGTCAGACTCCAACTCAAAAAGAAAGTAGCAGGCAGGGACAGGGCACGAAGGAAACAAACCCTGGTAATGACATAGAAATAAACAGTGTGGGTGCACGGGATATGTGTGTGTGTGTGTATGTGTGTGTGTGTGTGTATGCACATGGGCACAGGGTGTGTGTGTGTGTATGCTTGGGGTGTGTGTGCATGTGCCTGTGTGCAGGTGTGTGTGTGTGCCTGTGTGTGGGTGTGCACGCTTGGATGTGTGTATGTGTATATACACATGGTATGTGTGTGCATGGGGGTGTGCAAGAGATGTGTGTGTGCGTGTGCATGTGTGTGGGGTGTGTGTGCACATGTGCTCAGGGTATGTGTGTTTGTGTGTGTGCGTGTTTGTGTTGGTGTGTGTGTGTGTGCACGTGTGGGGGTGTGTGTGTGCACATGTGGGGGTGTGTGAGCATGGGGTGTGTGTCGGATGTGTGTGTGCTTATGGGATGTGTGTGTGTGCTTGGGATGTATGTGTGGGAGGGGTGGGGTGTGTGTGTGTGTGGGTGGGTGTGTGCATGCATGGGGGTTGTGTGTGTGCGCAGATGTGTGTGTGTGTGTGTGTGCACACACAGAAGGTGGTGGTAAGGGATGGCCTTACTGAGAAGGTGATATCTGAGCACTTTTCCCCCCTCTCTCCCTCCCTTTTTTTTCTTTCAAGAAATGAGGCCTCACTATACTGCCCAGGCCGGTATTGAACTCCTGGGCTCAAGCAACCCTCTCACTTGGCTTTCCAAAGTGCTGGGATTATAGGCATGAGCCACCATGCCCGGCCTGAACTTTCTTTATAGACACAAAAATGAGTAAAAACGTATCAACAGGCCATTTTCACGAATGACAAGTTATGAGGGAAATGCACTAGAGCGGGATTGAGAAGGTGGCCCAGAAAACCCCCACCCTTGAGGTGGCCTTGAATTGAGACCCAGAGGAGGTTCAGGCAGCTGAGAATTTGGAGAAAGGTCACCTTGGGCAGAGAAAACAGCGAGTGCAAAGGCCCTGAGGCAGGAGCAGAATTAGCTTGGCCCAAGAGCAGAGGGAAGGCGGGTTTAAGTAAGGGAACAATATGATCTGGTTTGCATTTGTTGTGGCTGTTGTGGGAAGGCATATTGCGGGGGTGCAGGGAAGGGAAGACCGGGTAAGAGGCCATGGAGGAGTC